ATTTTTCATGTCGGTGCACCGTGGGCGGTGGAGCAGGGGTTGGCGGAGGAGGTAGCACGGAACCGTCGTGGTGGACCGCACGTCGCAGCTCAACGTAGTCTGGAAGGTTCACTAGAGGCAGCGTCTGGAGATTTTTTGGCGCAGGGGGGTCATGGTTCGCAGCTGTTATCGGACGGCGTGTCATCAGTCCATCCACCAGAGGAGGGCCCGCAGCAAGAGCCACATCGAGGGCCAGCGGAGACTTTAGAGGCGAGGCCTCCCGGAGTTATCTGCTCGGACGGAGGCGAGGGCGTGAGCGAGGATACAGTGCAGTTAGGGAGCGCAGATGGTGGACGGTCCTTCAGGGGGGGCATCGAGCGCAAAGGGTCATCGACCACACACCCCAGCATTGTCAGGCCCAGCACACATGACGTTGGAGACGGGCACACAGATGAGCCTCGACCGCATTTGACGGGGATGCGTGACATTATGTGTCCACCACCCTCACGCCCCTCTGCCGCTGATCCTGCCACCCACGGGCAGGCCGCGCCAAGCACATTGCCTACGAGGTCTTTCTACAACGGTGCGGGCATGGACCGGAGGGCGGGCGATATCGGACAGACATCAGCATATGGACCGACAGATGTGCCCGCGGGGGCGCGATCGATCGGCAACGTCGATGGCACTTATCATGATTCCATGAGAGCTTACGAGGAGCAGCATGGGAGGCCTATACGGGCCAAGACGAGCGATGTCAACGACACCAGGACGGCAATTGCGAGGCTATCACGGGCGAGGAAGAAGGGAACAGGTGTGTCGATTCCGTATCACCGGCGCCGCCTGCATCCTTTTTTCCGCAACAGGGACGAAACCAGACACATGCCAGCTGCCGCAGATGTGAGGGGGGGGCGGAGGGAGGTGACAGAGTGGACGAAGCAGGTCGAGGTGAGAAGAGACGAGGCGACACGATCATCCTCCACGACGACAGCTCCACAACCGCTGAGGGGGGTGAGACCACAGGCGCCGACGATCCTGATGACTCCGATTACGTCCCGAGGATCCGTACGGCGCACGGAGATGACGGCGGAGGTCGTCGCGTGAGGATGAGGACTGGACCTGGCCCGGATGGTCATTGCACCCCAGCGGCACATTTGCCGCCTATTGATCGACGGGCGCAAGCTCGTTCTCTGTTGCGCAGACTGGGGGAGCAAAGACAGGCACGAGGGACATCACTGCCACATCAGCAGCCGGCGGGGGAATCCCTTAGACACGACGGAGAGAGAGAGAGAGAGAGAGAGAGAGAGAGACAGAGAGAGAGAGAGACAGAGAGAGAGAGAGAGACAGAGAGAGAGAGACTCTGTGTATTCAGTGTTCACTGCTTTCTATCATTCTTCGTTTGGCAAAGGACCGACCGAGATACCTGCCTGTATGGAAAATTCACGAGGTACATATCTGTAAATATAGAAATATGGGTCCAGTACCAACTTCATTTTCCCTACAGGCTACAGGCTACGGCTACCCAAACTGCGAATAGCAGACTCGGGCTACCCCTAGGACAGAGAGGCCCCACGGGCCTATGCTGCTAGACGGTCCTATAGTGTGTGTGTGTGTGTGTGTGTGTGTCACTGTGCGACACTGTGTGTGTGTGTGGCATTGTGTGCCACGGCGTGGCAGTGTGTGTGTGTGTGTGTGTGTGGCTTTCTGTGCCCCCCCCCCATGTGGGCCCCATCCACTCGGCGCCCGCTGCCCCGCCCCCAGCACCGACCCTCGGTAGGTTCGG